GTTTGATAACGAATGCGAGATGGTTTGATAGTATGTGTAAGAGGGTTTGATAGTATGTGTAAGAGGGTTTGATAGTACGTGTAAGAGAGTTTGTATGTTTTGGCCTATGGGGCCTCTCATAGGATTGTGTAACAGTCGTCCTCAGTGACCATTTTAGCAATGCAAGCTAAAACAATAGATGTAGCTGACATTAAATGACAAGAAGTATATTATTTAACAACAAAAAAGACCAGCTACATTGCACTTATTCAGGTCTTACTATTAAACTTCTGTAACAGCCCAACCCCCTCCTCCTTTTTTAAGGTCTGCCAACACATTCTTTTGTTTTCATTTTTTCAGTTTCATCAAAGCTAACTAAGCGTTTTTTTTATAGGTTTGAAAGGTTTGAACTATCATTTTAATTAAGGAAATGCAACATTTCCTTTGTGACTTCTCATTATTTAAACAAGGACTTTCTCAGTAGCATGTGAGATGGTCACCGTTTCACATGTGCATATGGTAAATAGCTGACTGTAATCATGAATAGTCAGTTTGCAAGGGAGATATACTCTAGCACATGAATGGCTTTTGATGCCCACTGTTTGTGTCACAGATCATAGATTACCTGCTGGGGATGCCTTAAGTAAGACATGTGTAACATACAAATGTATCATCTGATTTAGCCTCTATTTGTTTTGACCAATTAAACACACAGACGTTTACGTAAGTCATCACTGATTTTTTTAAATTAAATTGCTCAATGATATAATCATCCCAGCCAGTCTAATGTTGATTATTATACATAGTAGTATACAGGTTTTATCTGCAATATCATCATCAACTGTAGCAATAACCTATTGATAACTTTATTGCAGTATAGCTTCTGGCTGAGCAAATTTGTAACATCACAACATTTCCGGACGATAGTGTTCGGAACAGGAATGTGGGGAGGATATTCAGCTTTAAATAAAATGCGGAATACAATACCATATTGGGATTTCGACTTCAAAGTAAAAGCACGAGGTAGCTTAATGTCTGGAAAATGTTTTAAGATGCATTTTTTTACCGCTGTAAAACGGGTTGAAAAGCAAATCCGTCGGTGTTTTATGCGAACCAGCTCACAAAATACATAATTTAAACTATTTACGTGCACTTTACACTGTCTACGAACGTTTTAAAGCAGCGCTAGCTCTTATGTTGAAACCAACGACGAGGCTTTTCCCTCGGTCCCACACAGCGCTCGTACGTCAGAGAAGACGCTCTTCTGATGTCACAGATTCCCGGGGGCGAGGCTGCACCGGCGCTATAAAGTCCTCCCGGTGCTGTGGATGGAAGCGCGGCGCTGATCCAGAACCACAACCAGGCAGGAGACAAAGGGAGAGAAAATAAAAAATAAAATAAAAATACAAACTGAGCTAAACCAAAAACATGGTGAAGATCACCTTCCAGTCAGTTTCGGCGCAGAAGCCCGAGAAAGACCAGGATGTCGACAAGATCACTCTACCCCAGGCTCACGTGAGTTTGCGCATCTTATCTTTCTTTTGTTTTCATGTTGTGGCGTTTTTCTTTAGCACTATTATTATTTTTTATTGTAGCAAGAGTAGATTCTCCTTTGCACAGGATATAACTAAGTAGACACATGGTGTCTGGTCATGCGTTCTCCGGCTAGTAACAGGATTTCATTTTAAACCTTTAATCTTTTAATGTGCCTATATTTAAACGTAATCTAACGTGCAATGAAAACCCGAATTTATTATTTGCATTTTCTGTAAATTTTACAATTTCTAACAACAGACTGAAGGGTTGCAGCAGCTGTTTTGTTCAGGCAATGGGGTAAATTGTGCAGCAGCATAACGGGCCAGTGCATGCCAGTGTCAGTCTGAGGATGTTGACATTACATCATCTCATTCGGCCGGCCTTGAGGACACTGCAGATAATAGACCTGTCTGCATAAGTGTGCATTACAGATGGATGAGACTGACAGTCCTTCATACAGTGCATACCTATAATATCTTCCAATTCTTATTTGCACTTTTACCTCAAGAAAGAAAACTGAGGAAACAAAGAGAGAGAGAAAAAAACTGCTGCAATTCCTGCAGCAGTTGTGCCATTCAGAGCATGTTATACTATTTCAGTCCTGCAGGGGTTGAATCCATCAGGATGAGTAGTGTGATAATTAATGTTTTTGCCTTGTATTTAATGTCCTTTGGGTGCAGCTTAATTCATAATATACTAGACATATACTATGTGTTTGCAATGAGCAAGAGTTAACCTGAAATTAATTCATGGATACATAAAGAAGAAAGGCTTAGAAGAGGAACTGAAGATGGAAACATGTCAAATCTACCTCATAGATAGATAGATAGATAGATAGATAGATAGATAGATAGATAGATAGATAGATAGATAGATAGATAGATAGATAGATAGATAGATAGATAGATAGATAGATAGATAGATAGATAGATAGATAGATAGATAGATCACATTGGCTCTGTCTTTTCTCAGCCTCCGTTCTTCACTCTATCCCAGTAGTAGGATATAATTAGATATCAGGCACTGAATAGTCTTTATTCAATCTCCCCCTTCTTCTCCCAGCCCACTTTGCACTGTAAAAACCACTCAATGACGTATCAGTCATCAGAGAAGACACCCCTTTTCATCTGTTTTGTTTACGTCAGCTGAAGGATGTCAGAGGCGGAGTGGGTTCTGATTGGCCAAGACAGGAGGTGAGGCGTCAGAGCCGATACGCAATATGTGTAGATCTATTAATACGTGCCCCCTCCTATGCCGAGGGACCCCTCTACTCTACGCAGCCATCCTCCCTTTTTTTTTTTCTTTCAATCCCACTTGGTGAGCCGGGATTTAATATCGGCAGATATGGAGCTTTGAAGTAGGGCTCCAAGAATAAACCCAGACGGCCACGTGCCAGCATCTTCGTCAGAGGCTGGCACAATCTGTTCTCCCCGCTTCCGCTCTCCATGGCAACAGTAGTATGGGAGAGGCAGAAGCTTGGCCGAGAGACCGTGGGTGGGCATCTGGCGTGCTTCACTCCAGTCCTTCCTACGTCTACCAGATCTCCTCGCCTGACTAACAGCTTGGCAACTGTCAGAATTAACTCTGTTACAATTCAGACTCAGTAAGGAAGAGCGTGGCTCTGTGAACTGTTGCGTCATCCGGGATTCGATTGTAGAACAAAAGCGCAGTCTTGTGTGAATTTACTGAGCTGCTGTCTAACCAGTCGCCTTTTCCTCTTTGCCTTTCAGGGGCGGCTGGTTCCTCCCATGAAGCCCAGAAAACCCTTTCCAGTGGGCCTGTGCTGCCTCGCCATTGGCCTCGTCATCTTCACCCTGGGATTGGTGCTGCCTTCCATTTACATCTATCGCTTCTACTTTATGTCCCAGGTTAGTCGAGTTAAGAACTCCCCCCACCTCAAAACAAGTCTTACCTCGAATCTTACCTCACTGGACAATGCAACTGAAAACAAAACATGCTGACAAGGCTTTGTTTCGTGACTTGACAGCAGATCCCAGAGGACAGCTTATTCCACTGCCGGGTCATCTACGAGGACTCTGTCTACGCTCCCCTGAGAGGACGCCAAGAACTGGAGGAGAACGTGGGCATCTACCTTGAGGAGAACTATGAGCAGATCAGTGTTCCCGTGCCTCATTTTGGGGGCAGTGACCCAGCAGACATCGTCCATGACTTCCAGAGGGTAGGCAATAAAAAGTCTCATCCTCTTATCTAAACTCGCGGCATTTGAGTGTTTAAGACTTAATATTTCTTCTTGATTCATTCCAGGGCCTCACAGCCTATTACGACATTGCCTTGGACAAATGCTACATCACTGAGTTGAACACGACTGCTGTGATGCCTCCTCGCAGTCTGTGGGAGCTGCTCGTTAATGTCAAGGTGAGCATTACGAGCGATTTAACACTCGCCAAAGAGGAGCGAGGACACGGTGTTCCCTCGTTACTGACCGCTTTGTCTCTTCGTCTCAGAGGGGGACGTACCTTCCCCAGACGTACATCGTCCAAGAGGAGATGGTTGTGACCGGCAGGTTGAGGAACATGAGGCAGCTGGGCCCTTTCATCCACAGACTCTGCTTTGGCAAAGAGACGTACCGCCTCAGACGTCGCAACCAGCGCCAACGTGAGTGAGAATTTGCGAGAAATTATGCGCAGTGTTTGCCCCGGTCACTTCCGTCTAGTTATCACCCTCTCTTAACACCAGACAATGTGAGAATGTGAGCCATGCAATGTGCTTAGGAGAGGAGGCGGAGAGGGGTCACTGTGATCCATCAGAGAGTTCAAATTTACTGTGTGTGGGAGAAAATCGGAGAGTGACCAGAACCAGAACCCAAATTGGGTCTTCCTTCTGGGCACTTCAGACGGTGTGCAATTCACTCCCATCACAGACATTTGTGTGTGTGTGTGTGTTTTTATGTGTGTGTTTTTGAGTGTGGGCACAGCCTGGGAACTTCCTCCTGCTACGTGAGTCACTCATAGTGCAGTGGACACGTCCACACATTTGTGGAGGAGGTAGTGATGCGCATGAAAGATAACTCTGGCGTCGCATCCCTCAGTCGGCGTGAGATCTTTCAGAAATGATGCAGCAAACTTCCCCCTGAGTACATATATGGATGAGACTGGTGCTGAATCAAATAGGGCACCGGAGGCATGCCAGCTGCACCAGTAATACGAGGAGTTTCAGTGCCGAGCAGATTTTTGTTTTTCTCAACGCGCCTTTTGTTTCTCTCCCTTTCTGTGCCGCTTCCAGGTATCGAGAGGCGCGAGGCAAAGAAGTGCCACAGAATCCGTCACTTTGAGAACACGTTTGTGGTCGAGACCATCATCTGCGACCGATTCTAAAATCTGAGGCGGAAATCACAGCCATCCGACACTGAAGCCAATTTCAAACCATACCTCTTGAATTCCTTATACGTTATGCTGCACTTTAAGAGCAAAATGTTGTCCTTTTGTTTCGGTTTTAAGAGTTTTTTTTGTTTGTCTCATCTTTGCTCTTTTTGTTGTTAATGTCTTACTTTTTAATTTGGATTGTACGTGTGATGTGCTTGGATTTATCTGTGGCTTGTCCTGAAGAGCAGGAGATATTAATCTCAGTCAAATCAGTCAGTCTGTGACAGTTACATCAGAAAACCAGACTCGCTCTTATTTTGTTTGTATTCGTTTGTTGGTCATTTAAAAAAAAAAAAATCATTTAAAGGGCAAAACATACCTCATGTAGTTAAGATGTTCATTTTGCTTGTTTATATCATTACCGAATTTTGTATATAATTGATTGTTCCTGAGCAATATACATATATATACTGTAAATTTTCTTCTTAATATCACATTGTTACACATGCATAGATTTTTATCAAAACTTGTTTTTGTGAGAGATCACTTATTTATGTTTTTTTTTTTTTTTTTCCTTTGGTATCACACTTTACTACTCCTTGGGTTATATATGGCTTTAGACTGTAATTAGTAGCAGTGCTGTAGAGGGACAAAGGGAACCAAAGTCTGCAGTCAGTGATGCTACACGTAGTTGTAAGGGATATAATATTTATATTGAAGAGTGCTTTATAGTTTAGATCACTTGCTGTAGATGATATCAAAGGCAAAAAAACTACTTCTTTTTCCTCTTCCTCACTCAGATTTAGCTGTTTGTCTTTAGCTCTCGCCTCCTCTCCGTCCTTTCTGACTTCCGTTCTCTACGTTGTTGACGAGTCTTATCATAAATGACATTTTTAGGTGTGTTTATGGTGTACACGTGCTCATATTTCACTGTTTTTGACACTTTATCTGACTGTACAGTCTAAATTCTCTTGTAAGATCTCGCTGCTTTAAAAATAAACAATCAAACTTTCTTTGTCTTTTGGAGTTTTCTCACTATCGGTGGAGCACAGTTAGGATTTTTCGGTACAATTATTGGCACATCTTTGGAGGATGTGAAAAACAGCATAAAAAAATCAGTTATAAAAAGTTCATTTAGACTGCATCTAGTTTTACCTTTTAGCCCATATTTTCTCAGAAGGTGTCTCTGTGATCTAATTGAAAGGGACAAAGCTTTCTAAATCTGAAAATCAAGTTTTTGTGGGCACATTCAGAAATGAAGTGGTTGGAGCTGCACTTTTAAAGACTATAATCACTGTAATGTCTTGCTGAAAGCAACTATATATATATATATATATATATATATATATATATATATATATATATATATATATATTTTTTTTTTTTAAAAGGCCTTTATTTTTATTCTCAAATTGGAAGTTCTGAATCAAAAGATAAATTTTGGGCTCACATTACCCAGTTACTGGAAGGCAAAAATGCAACAGAAAGCTGTTTTAAGGTGCAAATGAATGAGATATTTTTTAGTCTGGTTTTGAGACTTGCTTTTGCCGAGTTCTCAATAAGTGACTGTTTGTCAATGGATAGTTTTAATTTGAGAGTTGCTGGTCTGGTTCCAGTTTGATGTGCAACCTAGGCAAGGCATTTTACCCGACACTGTCCGATGATCTGTGTGTGAATTCGTGCACACTTGTGAGTGTGACTCGGGTGCAAAGTGCTTTGACTGGCTTATTTGACTAGAAAGGCTTTAGATAAACTGAGCCCGTTTATCGTGTTACCATTCATGCCAACCTCCACGTTTTGCCACTCTGGGCAGTGAGTCATAATGGCTTACATCCAAAAATGTTGCTAAACGTATGCCTCTCCACAGAACAAAGACACCAAAACACTATTTTGGAGAGTCAGACATATATTGTGGAGTGGACTACTTAAAATATAACACAATAAATGTCGACGTACCTGATTAGTTGAAAGCAAGAATGTACTTAACTTATGTCAGAAAATGTCAGAATATAAAATTTAGAGTCAGTTATTTAAAAAAAATAATGCATGTGTAATAGTTTTTTTTTGTTTTTTTTTTTCGTTCCAAGAATATATTTACAAAATGTTATAAAAAAAAAAACTAAAAGCTATTGTGGGATGATGCCTACAGGATCCTGTGTACAGGATGTTTGGATGAATTGTTTGCACAACTAAATCATCTGTGTTGAGAAACTCATTCAAGGAGTCTAACATCTTAAATGGGACATTTTGATGAGATTCAAGATCAAGGGACGAGTGGAGGTAACCAAAAGAAAAAGGGGATGTAGTTCTGGTGACCTCAGGACAGTCGATTTCGTCACACTGTTTTGCACATAGTTTGTTTCATTTTAAGACTTACGGTCATGGCGATCAGATCAAGCATCTTGTCTTCATGCAGTCCTTCTTGGCACAGTTACAACTGTTTTAAAATTTTAGATGCTTTTACCCTGACTGTCGATGTGTGTCTGTTTAGATGGTTGGAGACTTAATTACAACTATTTCCCTGACTCCCAAAAAAATCAACACAAATTTGCCTCATTTGAATAACATTAACTTCTTTTCCCTCCTGTTTTGAAGAGAGTGGATAGGAGAAAGAACATCTGCCTCATTATATTTATAACCCATATAAACTGAACTTATACGAAATTCATGTTAAAAAAGTAAAATAGTATTCTAAAACTACTTCAATTAGGTTGATTTTCCCCTTACTGAATAGGTGTTCTTAACTTAAACATTGGATCCCCCAAAATATGCAGCTGTAGCTGAAACATGTATTTATTTGTTTTCATTTCTACCCAATGCATATCGAGGGCGCTGTGCGATCAAAATAGAGTAAATTGAAGTTACAGAAGCCAGCAAAACAACCTTTTGTGGTTCCCATTGCAGTCTGTAGATTTGTCATGTGGCTTCGATGGTTTGCTGACTGAAGGGTTTAACAGTCACTTAGCTACAGGTGGCTTCAATAAGAGTTTCAGACAAAGGGTGGCAAATTTATTTTAAAAATCCATGCCTTCCTGTAAGGCCAAATCATTTAATCTTTATGCATGTTTGAACCGTGAATTTAATATGCTGGCTTTTTTAAAATAGTTTCTAAGAAATGTATTCTGTATTTTTAATGAGAAAGCCCAATCAAGGGCCAAAAATTCCTAAGTATTATCATTACTTCATTTTGTAGTGCTGTGTTTTGGTTTGCAGGAAGCAGCAGAAAATAAACACTACACCTGCCTTGTTAAAAGATTTTTTTTTTTTTTGTGGTACAAATGTGATTAGACCTGTAATTAATTTTCCACTGTGACCGCATAACAGCATTTTAATTACTATGAAACTGGCAGGCATCTCATGCTGTCATCTACAACACTTTGGTTTGTGCTCGCATATAAATTAAAATTTTTCTTCTTAATGTTTATGAAACCGACCCGTAAGCAATCCGGTAGTTCACCCAGAAGACCGACTGCCATCAACAAATTGTTTTTAGCTAGTTAATTAAAAACTATAAAAACTTGAAATTTAAAAAATGCCAATTAAAGTGAATTATTTTTAACATACGTATATTAATTTTATAACTACCAAACAAGCTACATGTAAAATTCACTAAGCTGACGGACTAAATAAAAAGACAAAATGAAAACATCACTGAATTTCGTACTGTAATTTTCTTATTGCTGCACCAGCTTTTTCTTTTAAAATAAAAATGACATATTTCATTATTATTTTAGGGGAGTTTAATAATAAAATCATTCTTTGTTTATTACTCTCTCTCAATCAGATGGTATTTGTGTAATTAACTAGAAATGAACAGAAACAAAGCTATCTGTTAAAATTTATTGCAAACAGACAAACATTTAAGAATATTTTTGTAATCCCAACACAATACTCTCTGTTATTTAAGGCTCAGTTACACAGTTATTTCTTCTACAAATCAGTCACACTACTTAAACCGTTTGTAATGTACAGAATAAGCAAAAAATAAAAGTAAAGTAAAAAATGTTTCAACTATTATTTAAAGGGTTAATGTTGGTAACCAGCTAGCATCAGTAAATGTTTATTGCATTAATGTTTATCAAGACCATAGATGATGAATTTGGCGTTGACGTAATTGTAACATCATGAATAAATATTCAGACGCTTTTATTAGTGTGCCTTTGACACTTATTCATTTACGTAAAAGATTAAATAAATAAAATCTACAGCTATTTCTGTAAAATATCAAACAAGATATATATTTTCCCATTTTAATTATTTGTTTCTTTTTATGGTACATATATTCATTTACACAGCCAACCAATAGTTATAATAATAATAAGCATGTCCAATGAAATAATATTGTTTGATATTTATCAACTGTGATTGTTTGGTCTTGTTTTTTTTAAAGAATTTCTCTTTCATTTATTTCTCTCTTTCTTTTTGTTTGACCCGTGTTCTTGAGAATCAAAACAACAAAGCTCTGCAATGAGCCGCCTGCGCCAGATTTAAAATGAATCATACCACAAGTCAGTTTCTCATCAGGGAGTGAGAAAGCAGAGAGTTTTCTCAGCCATCTCTCTCTCAAAAAAAAAAAAAAAAATCTCTTTTCATCATCTGTAGTGGAAGTTTTCTTCTTTGCTGCCCCGACTTTAGTTATTGGCGCTTTTTGAGGTTACAGATGCGTCAAGTGGCTTACTGCTCCAGGTCGGTGGTTAATTTTCATTGCAGGTTGACCTGGTTCACTTCCCGTTGCTTAAAATGCCTGCCAAACGTTTTCAAGAGCTGCTTGCTCGGTTTGTTTTACTGCCCAGCTAAAAAAAACAACAACAACAAAAAAAACCAACATCAACAAAACAACACTGAACATGACCCAGGTCGTCGAAAACAAGTCCTATGTTTAGCTGTCAGTCTCAAGCATTCAGACCTCTGAAATGCTGGAGTTTCCTCGCCTTAGGCTCAGTCTGGACATCCTGAAGTTGTTTTTCGTGTTTTTTTTCACCTCGTCAGCTATGAAGTAGTAGCACAGGCCATCCAAGCAGCAGGTGATGTTGGACAGACACATGGTGGTCTGTAAAAACATGCTTATACTTTTCATGGAGCTGCAGTCCACAATCACTTTCTGGTGTACCTGAAGGTATGCGCAAAAGTTGAATATTGTTATATCCAACTTAATTGTAGGACATTTTATATGCTTTTAAATTTACACATAATTTCATACATTTTTTTTTGTATTTATAGAGGCATCACGAGTAAATACTAAAGACATAATCCTGATGAATGTCCTTTTTAAATAAGTATTTTTGGAAAAAAACAAGAATCACACAGTGCTAGTGTTCAGTTGAATTTGTATATGTTTACCAGATCTAGAGTTTGACAGTTAATATATATTTAATGGCTATTTTTGTACCAATAACAAATCTCCACTAAGTTACATAAAATGCATTTATGTGCTTTTGCGAATAAAGCAAGCGTAACGTTGAGCTATATAACAATTTTTCAAATAGAATCAAAGGTTATTGATGCCTGCATGGACGGATTTTGAAACCTCACAACAAACTAAGAAAACACCCAACACTGAGTCATTTTACAAGTGTGTAAAATAGTAAAGCTGTACGCCTACACGTTTGTCATAAAGAAATAAGGTGGTGAGACAAAAAACATCACAAAAAAACGTTAATTTTGTCTGCTAGTAAAAAACAGTTTCCTTGACATCTCCTTCGAACCAAATCCTGATTCAGTTAAACACTGCCAGCTTTGTCAGCTGTCATTCAATTGTAAAATTATCTTCTGTATATGTTTAATTTTAGATATTTACCCGTCGAGTTTATAGAAAAATCTTGAACCCGGTTGCATATCATAATCAGAGCTTAATCTTGTTGCTTTACGGCTAAGTTCACATTTATGTTGTTAATGTAAAATGTGTCTCACCAGGAACTGCAGGAAGATGGCCAGGTGGCTCGGAGTGAACGGCACCAAGAAACAGCACAGGCCGCTGCAGATGATCTTCACGCAGGCCTGGCTCGTGGTGCTCCGCTGGCCGGACTCCTGGAGGGTCCAGATGACTTGAGCTGAACAGCAAACCAACGTGAGCGCAGGCGCCAGGAAACCAAATATTTGCAAGCAGATGATCACTTTGGGACTCCAGCCATTTTCCGAAAATCGATGGAAGCAGTGGAAGTCGTTCTTAACTACTGTCCTTAAGTTGAAGGTGACTGGAAAGATTGCGGTAAACACCAGAACCCAGATCCCCATGCAGGTCATGACAGCCGCCTTGGGGGAGCGCAGCTGCTTGGCTTTGAATGGGTGACATATTGCCAGCCACCTGTCAACGCCTATGCACATGATCATGTAGATACCGCCGTACGTTCCGACAAAATAAAGGTTTTCCAGAAATGAACAAGCGAACTGGAATTCCTGCGGCCATGTATGATATGCAGCGTGCATTTTGAAGGGTAGAGGCAAGAGGAGGAGGAGGTCCATTAGAGCCAAGCTAGTCATGTAGATGGTTGACTCAGTCCACTTTCGGAGGCACCGGCAATAAACCAGCAGCGCCCCCAGGTTAAAAAACATCCCCACTATGAATATGGGAATATAGATGGCCAGCTCCACGTGTTTCATTGGTTCGTCCACCTCTCTAAAAGAGCACCCACTGCTGCTGCTGTTGCTGTTGTTGCTGCTGCAAGGAAACAGTTTTGGTTCAATTTCATCATGTATGCCAAGTATTTTCAAACTGAACATTTCATTGTGAAAACTTTCTTTCAGATGAATGTGCCGTTCCTGTCATCGCTCTTCGTTCCCACACTGAGCATTAAGCATAAACCACGCCAGTGAGGCAACTGAAACTTCTCAGATGTGTGGGTATGCGAGCTGCGGGCTTGCTTTTTGCGTTTCTGCTATCAAGACCAGACACAACGTGGCATGGGAACTTTTTACATGTTACTACTTTCATCTAGATTGGTGGTGTTATTTTGAATCAGAGTAGCAGAGATCTAGACTGAGGTAAGTTCTAATTTGTGGTGGAAATCACCTAGTCACCGGCATTACTGATCTGCAGAATCATAATTAAGACTTTATTGGGTGTGTGTTTTCATCAGGAGTTGCGTTGAGCCTTAGACTGGCGCTCAGTGGAAAACACTGAGGGACTGATTTCCTTTAACGTCGCACTTAGTCTGCTGCCAACTGCAGTGGCTCAGGTCATGTTATCACACAGCAAAGTTATTTTTGATCTAAGAAGAAAAGTAAAGCATTTTATCAACAGACAGGTCTAATGTAAATCTATGACTTATTTGTGGTGTTTACTTAGTTTAAATGGTTTTAGGGAAACTATTCTTCCAGAAGCAGCACAGCAAGGTGACGAAGATTGAGTACTTTTCAAATATATATATATATATATAAACAGAATTTCTTAGACAATTAATCGTGCTAAATTAAGTCTTTTGCATGTAAATTCTTACTATCAAAGAAACATTTCCGTCTACCTTCCTAAAACACTCCAGCAGGTAAAAACAGCTGCCCAGCAGCTATGCATGAAGAATTTCACCTGCTCTGTTTTTAATGTAAAGGTACAGTAGAAAAATTGAAATCTAGTCTTGCTCTTACCTCATGATTGTCACAGAGGAATTTTGCTGTTTCTTTCTGAGTGTCTCTGCTGTGCCAGACAGCTTCTGCTTTTCTGCCCTTTGTTGTTTCATCACCACTTCCTGCGTCATGCCACACATGTATGTTTGCTCAGATGTGTGTGTGTGTTTTTCTTTTAAAACTGAACTTGTCCAGCAAGTCTTAAACTGCCACACTCGGCGCTGCCAATGTAAGCGATCACTTGCAAACGGATAAAACGGTAAAAACTGTCTGCACAGATGGAAAATCTAGCTGCAAGTACATATGTTTTAGACACCACTTTTCTCTTGTCTCAACTTATTGTAAAATGTGTTACTCAATTGTTGGTGAATTTTTTTTCCACTCTTTGTTGGAGAAAAAAAAAGAGGTCTTGCAAAAATGTACTTCGTATATATATATATATATATATATATATATATATATATATATATATATATATATATATAAAATTAATCTGTAAAGGACATTTCTATAATTTACAACATTGCTGTTTATTTTCAAGAGGAGCTTCCAAAACATTCAACCATATCGTGCGCACTTTCCACTGAAAACCACAAAGCTCGACCAGAAGTACCAAGCACTTATCTCAAACCGGCACGTTGAAGTCAAGGTGTTTTAGGCTGGATTAAAGTGAGGAAACGAACACTTGACTGTAAGCGCCAACATACCGTTGTCACCCTCAATTCAACGGCACAATGCTACAAAGAAAAGAAACAAAAGCTAGAAATATCAAATTGAGGAAACACTGGTTGTTAGTAAATGACACCGCTTTCCTATGAATTGTTATGCTTGCGTTTTTGTTTTATTTTATGTTTCCTCAAACTGGAATTTACATCTCTGCACAGGTTGTTATTTTTGTCCTGTTGATATTGAAACGTGTGAGCCTTAAACATTTGACAATTTCTGTGTATTAGTTCATGTGTGTTTTCGTCTTTTTTTTTTCTGCTCAGTTTTGCCTTCATCTTTTAACAGAAATGAGTGATACAGTGTGAAAGAGGCCTCACTGTGATTTCTGTACGGGTACACGGGCTGGCACTTTGTCTGCAGCGTCCCATATCAAAGGGAATGACTGAGCTCTGAGCAGAAAGTGACTATGACAAGCTGCAGAGGCAGATTTTTGACTGTGATTATATTTGAGGGTTTCCTGGTTTCAAGTGTTGAAATGACTTGACTGAATTTTAAGTGTGAGAATTTCTCTGCGCCGCTGTTCAGTTGCCAAAAGTCGGATGTCTGAGCTTCCCAAAGCAGGTGGATAGAGGAAATATCCTAACATTGACAGTCACTGAAGGTGAAGCTTTGAGAATTACCTTCACGTCAAAAAAAAAAAGGAAAAAGCCAAGAAGCTTCTTCTATTGTACCGAGGTGCGTGTGCTCAGCACGCTGCCCTCTGCTGCTGTGAACAGGGTACTGCAAATATTCATAGTTTATTAATCCAATTTCTGACTCGCATAGAAGTACTTCATTTTGTCCACTTTTCTTTCAGAGTGATTTTTTTTTGTTGCATTTCTTGACTTATTTAATTTTGACAATCAAACAGACTGCACATAACTGAATTTGACACAACTATATTTGCATTTATCCCTATATTTCTGGATAATTGGAAATCAGTTGGAGCAGTTTGCTTTACAAAACTCAATGATATCACAAATGTTGTGAATTGGTGTTAAATAAATAAGGCGTATTGAACTTTTTCTAAAAATGATTTAGTGTCATGCTCATTTTACGTCTTATATTGCTACTTTACTTCAAATGTACTTGTGTTTATAATGCTGTGGAACCTAGGTTTAGTTGAAATACATTTAATTGAAATTAAACAAATAGTAATAATCAAAAAATACAAAACATTTTCTAGATTTGTTGATATTCACTTGTGATATGTAAAGAAAAACAAACAAACAAAAAAAAACACACCCACCAGTCAAAATCTTTCATTGTTTTTATATATCCAATGAAATATAAGAAGTCACGTCTAAATGGTTGGCTAGAAACTCTGAGACAAATATATATATATCTATATATAAAAAAACAAACAAAAAAAAAACAGGTTAAGGAGTTAAATTTGAACACAACATTCATCCAAAGTCTGACTTTATATTTACTCTACGGAAACTTCCAGTCCACTATTTCTATGCCCTAAAAGGATTAAAAGAAATGCTCTCTTCTTTTTCTCAACTCCCCAGATGTTTCCAAAGGACAGAAATGTCTAAACTTGTTCTGAGTTTTCTTGTCCTGAATTTTCTTGAACAAGTTTAGAATTTCAAGAGACTGTAAGTGGAAAAAGATGTAAGAAGTTATGGAAAACAATGAAGATACTTTTATGAGTATAATTACTAGAAAAACAAAAAAAGAGAGCACAACCGACAAACACACCATCTCACGATAAGCACTGGTAGAGCCAGCCAGTATTTATGATTCATCCACACCGAGAAGCAACTGGAGTGTTTTATTTTTAGTTGACGGACCTGCCACAATTTCTAGCTCTCAGGGCACAAAGCATCTCATCTCAAAACGAAATACGAGGGGGCGAGCTCGGCGTTTGATGAGAAAGACAAAAGACAGAGACACAAACACTCATGCAATACAAACACACGTACACACACACACGCATACAAAAAGGGAGACGCTCTCTCTCCCTCTAGGAGGCTGTGAATTTCCTGATTGTGATGACGATGAGTGCGAGGAGGACTGATGCTCCCAGGAAGACTGCAACAACTATGGCAGTGATGGCCCCCGGTCCCAGAACTCCTAAACACACAGAGACACAAACATTAACTTGTAATTTTTAAATGATAATTAAAATAAAATAAAATAAAATAAAATAAAATAAAATAAAACAAAATAAAATAAAAATGGGCAAAAAGCTATCAAAACTAGCTGGCCTTATGGAAATATATAACTGCCACCTTACTTAAATCACTAACTTACTCTGATTGCCTAAATTGTTTTGGAAAGCTCAAGTTTAATATCTCTAGCCGCAACAATAATGGGATCAATTAAATTATCTTTGACTGAACCTACCTGGAAACATGACGTGAGTTAAAAGATAAAACAAAAACGGAAATGCTTAATTTAGGTTCACGTAAACATTTCTAAGCCATCGTCCACCATCTGAGGAAAACAACATGGAGCAGTTTCCCAGAAGTGTCCAGAACTCCAACACCACATTGAAAACTCAAACAGGAAATCAAAAAAACAGCTGAGAAAACATTAAAAGTGTTGCAGACCCTAGTTTCCATGACTAAGGAGCGTTTAAGATTCAAAAATGAGAAAAAAACCCGAGACTGAGCAACAATGGCATCCATGGGAAAGCTTATGGGCAACTGCTACTGCTGACCAAATAATAAAACAAAACATGAAAGCATGCTCCCATTTGACAAAAAACAAAAACAACAACAAAAAATCATATTTAAATAGAAGAAGACCATAGGAAAAAATATTTTGTGGTATGATAGGATTGGTACTGTATTTTTAGAAGGTATGCATCTAATTACATAAAAGTATAAAGAACTTCAAATGACAACATTTCTTTCAAAATGTTGAAGGAAACCGTCTGCTCTGTTTGTGACCTGACCTCAAGTACACTTGGGTCAACCACTACAACGTGGCTTAATTTAGGTGGTCAGAGATGTAAAAGACTGTTTGTTGCAAATGACTGATGGCAGCTGTTGCACCAAAAAGTGACACATAAGGTCCAGACAGTCAAACATATTTTCACATAATAACAGGTGGGATTGGATTACTTTATGCCTCTAATAATAAATTATATTCTAATTTAAAAACTGGATTTTGTATTTATTCTGGATGTGTGCGATGGCCTTAAACATCTAAGTGTGATATAAAAGGAAAAGAAGAAATGCAAAAGATTCTTTTTTTTTTTTTTTTTTTGCTGCGATGTAGGGGTGACTCTCAATACAATTTATTTAATTTTTAACCTTCGCCTTCGTCCAGGATCGGAGGCTGCGTGGAGTCTTCAAAATCAAAGGTGTAGGTCTGTCCTGGGTTGTCCAGGAAATGGCTCTTGGTTGTAACTTCAGTCATCCACACCGGTGGATCTCCAGACATGGCATCCTGGTGGTCCCTGCTGGATAAGGCAGGATCCAACACCGTCTCTGCACAGAGAGGGTGGGAAAAAAATTAAATAAAAAATGACAACACAAGCTTGTGCAGCTAACTGCAGAACCCATGATGAGGTACATCTTTATGCTAATAGGCCTTTTTGTCATCTCTGGGTGTGAACAGCAGCGTGCACAGCCTCTTCTGTGACTCTTTAAACAGTCGGTTTCTTGTCTAGACGTGCTCCGAGTATAAACGCGTCTTTGTAACGGATGGACAGTTTCTCAGGTTGACCCACAGGTACCCTGTTGCTTTTTATTTTTTATTTTTTTATAAAGGCTCCACTAAATTTCCGAGCAGACAAACAAACAAACAAACAGACGGTTGGAGACGGTGAAAGCGTCCAACTCTGTGCTTCTTCCGTCCTTCGCTTTTTCTCTCTCACCGTACAAATTTAGTCTCGTCTGTCATTCCTCTGCTTCAAACGCACGACTTTTCACACTTCGGTGGGAGAGGAACAAAAGCTGTTTCTCTGAGACGCATTTTGATGTTTCCTAATGCAACAGTTAGAGTTATGCTCATGAAAATGTCAAGATAAAGGGTAAAAATAATTAACCTTAATGTTTTTTTTGTTTTTTTGTTTTGTTTTTTGGTTGTGGCGTCCACTGTCGTTGCAGTAGACAAACATCAGAACAACTTTGCTCTTGAACTCCAGTGGAAATGTGGAAAAATTTCAATCATCCCAACTGAGAAAACAAACTCGTCAGGAGGCCCACCCATTCAGACACTAAGTAATTACCTTATTCAGTTCTTGACTACGCGCATTCCAGCGCTACCATAACCAAAATATATCTGCATTCAGCCTGTGTTTTCTGTGAAACGGGCTCGCTTCTTATCATCTGATAATTCACAGACTTTAGTCATAAACCAAATGGAGGAGCTAAGGCGCGTGATTACGATGGGGTAAACATTTTCAACGAGATGTCAGATGTGGCATCTGCTAACATTCTTAACTTCAACTTTTGATGTGAGTATTTTGATGCAGTCGTGTTGACTCCGAGCTGTGAGCAGCTTCCTGTCCTGCGGCTGGCTTTGGGTCTGGAGGCCCAGGCTTGTGGCCAGTTCAGCCATCAATGAGGCCTTCAGCCGACGACACAAAAGGCAGCTTGTGCGGCCAAACGGACCAGCAGCCTTCAACCAGTAACAGCCGGACAGGCCAAAAAGCAGGTACGGCCTCGGCACTGGATGTCAAACAAACTTTTTTTCATTTTTTTTTATTAAACAGACCCTGTGTGTTAAAATGGCTTCTGAACTCTGTGATTGAATGGAAGGGTGAAAGAAATTAATCAAATTCTGTTTTCCGTACTTTCTAGCTGTTTGTTTTCATGAGGGGAGGCTCACTCAAAACTTTCAGTGGTGAAATAATAATTTAATTCAATGTGTCATCGACTCTACGTGTCTCTACTCGCGCAGCTGGAGGTCAAATTTACCTTTTGAATATTACAGATATAATACAATGTGCAAATTGCTTCAAAATTGCACAAAATTATGACGTGCACAACTGTGCAACTTTAAGCTATTTCAAGTTATTAATTACAATCTTTGAAATTTGGTGTATTAAAAACAACTGCAAAATAGCTAACTTTTAATTTGCTTTATTTTAGTGTTTTTGCCATCTTTTCAGAAGGTTATCTAGTTACTTTTCATCGTTGTACTGAATTCAGTAGCTTAAAATTATTTTGCACACACCGGCCATTTATTTATTGTATTAAAGTTGTTTATGTGCTATATGTTAGTAACACAGAGTTGGATTATTGTCCAGTATGATCATTATTTGCTCATAATCCTTTTTAAGACAGGCCCGTTTTGGTAGTTTTTTTTTTTTTTTTAGCTAACCCCCGTTCATTCATTGCTAAATTTGAAATAATGTTTTTGGGGTAGTTCAAGCACTTCTTTGTGATCTCTATGTACCCATTTTAAAGTGTAACTGTTGCTTTTAACTACTGTTTTTATTCTTAAATATATACATATAAAAAGATGAGAAATTGTTGATCATTACAAAATTTAAAGGTGATTTAAATGGTATCTAATTGAAGCTAGTTGGGGTTTTTTTGTGTGTAGTTTTTAAAGTGCATCTTTTTCATTTAGCCATTTTAGGCATGTCCATGTTCTCCCTTCATAACTTAGCCCTGTAGCTTATCATGAATTGTAGCTAACCATAGACTAGCTTTTGCTAGAGTGCCAATTTTAATTGTCTTTTGTTTTAATTAAACTACTTTGTTGTAAATGCTAGTGTCTAATTCCAAAATGTCACCATTATGTTTAGCTAAAGTATTTCTTGAACTACTAACTACATGCTTGTAGCAGTTTTTTTTTTAAAAGATGGCTTTATAGTTGATCATAATCTAGCTTTAATGTATGTTGAATGTACTGTGCTTTAAAGCACATCTGTTTGCTTGTTGCTTTGGTGTGTGTGTTGTCTTTATTCATAATGTCTCTGGTTACAAACTTCTATCCAAATTGAAGCACAATTTGATTTTAGCCATTTCAACTTACTTTTCAGATTGCTCGAAATAATTTTTTTTGCTTATAAACGTACATATTGTTTTAATGATTTGATAACTACTTAATATATCTACTCTTCACATATTCTACAGAGTTGTTGTGCAGCGCAGGTTTTCTAATCTCTCCACATTGCAGGGATTATGTTCCACGTATACAGCACCTTTTTTTTTTTTTTCTGACACCCACACATGATTTTGAGATCGGTATCTTGCTCTTGGTGATTTTGTTATGCAAAGTGAAAAAGTAGATAATTTCACCACCATTCTTCTGATTAGATTGTGGCCCAGTTTGCCTGTTACACGTACGCATTCTCTGGATCACTGCAGCCCTCCGTCTGTCGCACCTTAAAGATGAAAAGTTATTACTTGTAAAAGCGTGGTAGACACCAACGGAGGAGGATTTCAGACAGTGGAAACACAGAAAGCCATTTGTTGGTACCTCTGGGCTCCTCCATCAGGATTTCACACCGGCCAGAGAGATGACCAAGAGTCCAGACAAGGGTGTGTGAAAACTAACCTTACAGAGCCTTGGAAGAACAAGCTATACATCCACAACATAGAACTGGCGTCACCATCTGTCCCCCTTATTCACCCCTTTTTTTTTTTAACTACCACATGTTATGCTAAAGTTTTCCATGGAAAAAGATGGAATTCACTGTTCATATTTTATTTTCTTTTAAAAAAAAGATATTTATGTTGAAATAAGTCAGTTTCTTGAATAATCACAGCTGAAACTGGGGTAATTATTAAACTATGTTGCCTAAGATTTCGTTGCATATACGAGATGTCGGTTTGCTTCCTCATGCTGAATCAACACATGAGGCTGGAAGTCACACTATATCAGATATTGTGGTCAAGTCCCGAGGCATTGCTGGATGGCAGCCATCTGTGCACATGACAATCGTGACACTTCGTAAAAATGCCAGTAAGAAAAATGAATGAGAAACTAAAACCACCGATTTTACTGATTCTGTCCATCAAAGACGAGATTGTTTCCAAAGACTTTCCAAAGATATATACAACAAATAGGACATTGTCTTCCTTGTTGTCCCACTGGGATCTTAGCCCTTACAATGACGTGAGATTCACTGCTGCTTTAACATTTCTTTATATTTTTAATAGGGCGACGTGGTAAAGAAAAGACTTTTTCCTATGCGAACAAGTTGATGCTGAGCTAAATGTTTCCCACGTCTTAAAAGTCTCTAAAATATCAACCGGTGGCAATCTGAATCACTTATGCTCAGGTTGAGCAAGAAGGAAGTGATTTTTTTTTTTTTTTAAAGCTTCATAAGAACATCAGGCCTCATGAAAGCAACTGAGTCATCATGACTGTCACAGAGCAGCTTTCACAGCTTTAACAACCACATCATTTACTTCTGTCGACGCATGTAAAGGGGCGAGTGAATTGGAAAAGAGGATTGCGAGGGAAAAAAAAGGGGCAAAATTCACACACCTTCAACTTAAAAACACACAATTAAAGAAAAACTGCCTGTAGGTATAAGAGAGTATTAGCAAACTCTTAAAGGGCAAATTGAAAGGCTGAAAAAGCAAAAAGGTTATGTCTCTTTGGCACATTTTCCACTTAGCGTTTCCAGAAGGAGGACAGGAGCCCTCCCCATCACAAGCATGAAACGATGACGGAAATAAGGTTTACCTGTGTGTGCAAGGACCGACAGGAGGCTGAAGAGGACCAGGACAACCCTGCAGACGCTGCTGTGAATCATGGCAACTGCGACAGTCGAGCGTCTTTAAAAACACCTCGGGCCGGAGCTTCCAGCAAGTAGCTGACCCAGGAGGGGAGAAAAAGAGGAATACAGGAGGGCCGGAAAGGGAGAGAGGTCCTGAGCTGAGGCGGTGAGAGAAGAGGTGGGATTAGGTGTGTGCAGGAGCGTCCGGACAGTGTGCGCTCTGTGAAAATGCACAGGGCCAACCCACCCTAAGACACCTCTGAACGAACAGTTCAGCATTAATGGGTAAACATCTGGACAGACGAGTGTGTGCGGATTAAGTCACAAAGATTTCTACCCAAAGTTTTACACATTCGACCTCGAATCAAACACATCTGACTGAAAGACCAGTAAGCAGACGACGGAAAACTTAATTTACTCAAAACGACACTGTCTTACCTGCTATAACAACTCTGTTTGGATATTAGCATTGTCCGTAAACATGTTAATGCTACATGCAAAACATCTGAGCTAAAAGACAAATTGTCCAAGAGTCAGTCGATAGCAGTTGTTATTTTCTGTTATTCGTCCTCGGATGTCGAACCCTGTAAAAGTAATTATTATATTAATATCTACTTATACACGTTTTTGTTGTTTCCACTCTGTGGCGTGCGCCTGAGACATTTAATTGATTTTTGCGCGAGCGTGGCTTTTAATCAAAGCCAGAGACAACAATGAAGCCATCATAGGCTGTACGGAGCGTAGAACAAAGCTGCACTGCCCGCTCCCCCATGTGTAGCTGTGCATCGATAATTAACTAGGTGGAATAAGGTAAGTACAGTAGGCTGTGCTTACAAGAATGACATGTTTGACTGTTTAGACATGTTTCCAGGTCTGAAAACGCCTCGAGTCAGTCATGGTCCAGAAACTAAAAGGTGCACCATGATGGTATCATGGCATGGCTACCTAACCTGATTTCTCTAACCGGCGATTAAATTAACCAGCTAATAGTAACTTATTATACCTTGTTGCACATCTGTTCCTGTGCAACCAACAGAACATCAAAATAGACTTGAGAGCTATGATCACATTGAACTGGTGTTTGTTCTCATATTTCTGCTGAAGTTTATGTTTAGAATGATTTGTGTTAAATGTAATATAAAACAAAATGTTACATTATGCTCGCAGCATTGTGGGTTATGATTTTTTTCTCTTTTAAATAAAAGCAATTAAACTGTTAAGACATTTTCTAAAAATGTTTATGCACTTGACGCGATTCTGTGATATTTTTAGTCTGGATCTCATGCTGTGAGTATCTCATACTGACCCCGGCCTACTTGAGAGCAAATTTAATCGAACAAAAGAGATTATTTCCCATTTCCATTTCCCCTGGAGTAGTGAAATCATTGTCAAATTAATGGCCCCTTTAGGCAGATGCACACGCATATTGAAGTGTTAGATCAGGATGTTTTATGTTAGTAAGTTTGAGTTAGAAGAATGTGTGGAAATTTGCTATTACATTTTGTTATTTAAATATAGCCTCATTGAAAGCAATTAGCAATAAAACAGAACAGTAACTTCATTATATTTCCAGTCTCCAGAAAAGATTATGACTCTTGGAGCCTCAAAAGTGGCATATTACTCCTGAAAAAACAAAAAAAACAAAAAACAAAACAACAAAAAACAAATCAAAAAAACTCTAGCCCGGATATTTGTTAATTAAATTAAATCTAAATGTTAACTTTTAGATTTAATTTTGTTTTTTTTCCATCTTTATTAGACTAAATTTATCACTTCTTCTAGATAATTTCTTAAGCTAGCTTTACCTAAAACAACTTCTGTGTCTCTTATCTTTTCCTGTCTCAGAGTAAAGGGAAGCAGAAGTAAAGAGTTCAAGTGAAAGCTCCATTTAGTGAGGGACACTAAATGTGTCCCTCACTAAATGAGGGACACATTTACTTTTACTGAAAGTAAATGCTTTCAGTGTAAGAAAGCATTTACAGTGTAAGTGCTTTCTTACACTGTAAATGTCATCAGCGCAGCGAACATGAGGTGGCTGAGCAAAATGTACTTGTAGCAGGTTTAGGACCAAATAAAACAGGGAAAATTACGTTCTCCGTGTTTGAGGTGAAAAATCACCATAAGGAAAAAAACAACAACTTTCAAGCAGCAGTTCAAATGTGTGCCAAGTAGAAAGTGATTTGTAAATGTTATTGGATCATCTTAAACTCCACTACAGCAAAACGGTACCTTTGTTAGACGCTAATGGTTGAACTACACTTTACCAAACATAAATATTTGAACTTATTTTAGGAGTATCTACTTGTGTTTTTATTCTGTGCTTGTTAGATCCTCTTACTTTACTCATCTGAGTGTCTTAAAGTTGACAGAACATATATGCTGCAGAGGGCATAAAATCTCAAATGAAACCCTAACGTCTAACTTGTGATACAGCCAAATACATGTGATCCCCTTTTTGGGAGGTCTGTTAAAGTAAAGCTGGTTAAAGTTCAGACATTTATTTAGATTACAAATGTAGTTGCTGACTTTGGCCATGAATATATATACGTCGTATGTGACGGGTAAGCTTCTTAGTTTTGAGTAGTTTAAAGGATTTGTGCACAATTCAAGTAAAGTACACTTTTCTGCATTTATCAGTGGATAGCACTATTTTTTTTATGTAGACTAGATATCTACCTTTCAGCTTTTGAAACCAATGCAATAGCGGCTTAGTTGCTAAGTTAAAAAGAAAAAGTAAATCGCATAGTATTACACAATACATAATTTACAACCAACTTTACATATCAGATCAAAATATGGCAATCAGTAATCAGTCATTAGTAATTACCTTAACTGTTAATCAGTTTATTTTGGGAAACGATGCCACTCTTTTCTACAGAACTAAACCGCTTCTCAATTTTTGCACTGGCTTTTAGGCGTCGGCAGACTAGTGATTTGTTTTCACGTTGGTACAACAGTCTGCATGTTAGTCGGTGGTTTTCCTTTCCTCTGCTATAAGCAACCCGATGGACACGCTAGTTTTACTTCCTAAGACGTTATCAGCTGTTTGTGACGATGCATTGTGGTTTAACGCCCAAAATCTAATCTTGGGTGTGGAAACAAACCGTCAGTGAAAATACATGTCAGAAGAGAAATGCCATCTGAAGCAAGGAGCTGGTTAATGTTAAAAAAAGTAAAATATGGAAAAGCATTTTCAACTTCATAACTAATTAAATATTACACAACCCTCATTCATATATAGTTAAAATATTTACATACGTTGTGTAAAAAGACAAGTTGTCGTCCCAATCTGATGGCAAATAACCTCAAATCTCTCCCATTTTAGGTCAGGATTAGAAAAAAATGTTTCTTATTGCTAAATGCAATGTACAAAAAATGTTTTGAGAATTATTTTGAAGTTACCGTCTTTAAAATCAGAAGCTTAAATGCTCTAAGATTAATATCCCTTCAAATCAAATCAGAAAAGTAACTTCATGCCTTCCACTGTGTAACACTACACAGCAGTGCTGATGTTAACCTTCAGTCTTCCTTCTGCGCAGAAGAGAAGTCGTGTTGGTTTTATTCACCAAATCTTGTTTAACATTACAGCAACATGGTCTTTGGACTGCCTGCGAGTCCAAGGAGAAAAACTGAGGAACCTTCAACACCTGTGTTGAGATGAAAACATTCTTTGTGTCCCTGGATGGAAAGACGGCCTTGAAGTCGGGTGGAACAAATGTCATGCAGAGATTCTCCGCCCACTAAGCTGAGAAGGTGGACATTCAGAACCGCAGGTCAAGGGACCCGGTCCGGTTCATTTGACTCACTGAGACTGAAGGCTACTAGTAAGAAGTCACGACTTGGCTCAAGCCGATTTTTCAGACCGTGAAGATCTTCCTCTGGTGAACTCTTTTACTTTTCCAAAAAGTATTAAAAGTGGAATTATTTACATTTCCAGAGGAAGAGGCCATTTGATAGTTAAATCTTTAATCACTGCAAGAAGCCGTGTATGATTGTTCTCCAATCTTTCAAATTTTCTCCAGGCGCGACTTTGATGTTTTCCTGCTTAATTGCATTCGTTTTAATAACTAATGGTTTATTAAGTATTTTTAATATACCCATAAAATTTATAATTTTTTTCTTTCATGAGGTTTGCAATTAGGCCCCCTACCGAGGAGAACTTAAAACTTCAGACAGATTTTTAAAGTTGAGAGCAATGAATTATGCTTATTTTTAATGAGACCGAAATAACTTGTAACATTATCTGTGTATAATTACCAGTAGTGAGACATTTATTCCCATTTTCCTTATAAAAGTCATGTATTGTAGTGTGGTGATATGCACATTTTGTGGTTTCACTGAATCGTTCAGACACAGATGTGAACAGTCCAAACATAAGACTGTTTTATTATTCTATACTGCAATAAAAAAGTATGACTCCAGCAGATCCTTCTCATATATTATAATACAGATGCAGAATTGAAAGTTTATTCTTTTAACAGCCTAGTATTTTACAAGAAATAGATAACTAGTTGGAACTTTTGAACATGTCCTTAAAACAGGACATAAGTGGGCATGAATCCTTGGGCTCTACTTTGCCGTTAGTATCCATGAACAACCAGCCGAACAAATAAGGGAAGAGGAGAGAGTGGGCAGGGGGAGGGGGTGAAGTGGGGCTTTTAATAAATAAAACAAAAGTATTTTTTCTATCCTTTAACATATTATGAAACCCAAATATCCACTCCTAAAACAAAATCCACATACTGTAGAGGCCAAATTTGTCATCTCTGAGTTGTTGTGGGAAGCGTTTCCAAATCAAACTGAAGCCAAAAGAGATCAACAACTCTGAAGAGTGCCGATTGGGCCTGGCAGTCGGTTCATTCACCAGTTTGCTCCAGCTATAGGTCAGTTTGCAAGACAGCGGAAAACAAATAAACAAAAAAAAAAAAAAAAACTGTAATGGAGAAAATGATTGATGGGAAACAACAACAAAAAAAAACATTTTCTTTGAAAATCAGGAGGGCTGGGGGTTTAGGTAAAACAGCTGCTGTTCAAACTGGATACAGTCACTGGGATTTGCTCGGCTGCAGTCCCTTTTCAGTCCTCCAAGGTTTCGATTTCCCCCATATTCAACCTCTCAGATGACGCATTCACAGAAAAACCTAACATTCGGAAAAAAAAGGAAGAAAAAAAAAAGAACAGAAGACTTAGCACACAATGGCAATAAAACCGAGATGCTTTATTAACTTAATATCTGGACGTTTGAACTCACCTAAAAGGCTTGGGTCTGCTCGGACCATTTTCTGCTTCTTTTTCTTCTTCCCTGAGGTGACCGTCTCAAATCGTTGCTGCTGGCCAATTGTATGGTTGGATTGGTAGATGGCTGAAGATCCCATTCCACCCCACACAGAGTCCTTGAGCAGAAACAGAAAATCAGACTAACGAGATCCCAATCATTACCCTGCAGGTGCCTTAAAATTACAAATTCAACCTCCTTAACTTTTGCTTAATTCAGTCAGATGTCCACCTCTCACTAAACAATCACTTGTCAACACTTAATGTTAAATAAATGTGCCAACTCTTTCTGATTAGCTTTGGACTTTGACCTGGACGACTGTATTGGAGCTCAAATCTTCCATCTTGTTTGGATAAATTAATTTTTTCCATAACAAAGCTTATATTAAAATATTGGGTTTAGTTGGTATTTCAGTTTCCTGTCATTTGGACGTTCCCACAGGTGAGAAACACTATGTACAAAATATCAGCTATATGGGTCTGAAAAATGTTCAGGTTGAGACTCCTTAAGATAAAGAACATTTTCCAGTTCTGCTGCAACTCAACCAGACTGGAAAAAAAATGTGTAAAGTTCATAGTAAAGCGAGAAAAACGGATCAAGATGTATGACAGTTCTTTAAATGTCTCCTATTAAGTCTCCCTCTTGCTAACTAGTTTGTTGCTTTTTCCAAAATAATTTAAAAAAGTAAAAAAATAAAAAACATCTAGTAGGAGTCAGATTTTAAAACAATAAAAAAAACAACAACAAAATTGTTCAGGACTGAAAAACAATAATCTATTAATCTGAATTACTTATTTAGCTTTTTCATAATGATACACTGCAAAAAAAATAAATAAATAAATAAAAATTTGCATGCAACGCTTA